AAAGGAGGGAAAAAGGAATGAAAGAAAGAAGGGAGGGAGAGAAGGAGGACTGGAAGTAGCTGGGACAGAAAGGGATGATCAAGGGAGGGAGGAAAGGGGAGAGAGAGGTTGGAGTATGTTAAATAATTGAAGGGATAGATGAAAAAAAGATACAGTACAACTTACAATGAGGAAACTCAAATGGTGAACACTTCAAGTTTTTTTCACGTTATTATTTCCTGGAATTTCGACTTTTTTAATCCCTCCAAACTATGAATCATTGAGTTCAAATACACCGAGTAATCGAAACCCTTCAATCCATCCATCAATCAATCATTTTAATTATTATTCCATCCAAGAGATTATTTATTGAGAAAATGTTGTATAGAGTGCAATATACCCGTGAAACAGTTAGGATTAAATAGGAGATAGTTAGCGCTTAATTAGACAACACATAGGAATTCAGTGAGGCATGACAAGGGCACAGGTGTTTACTAGAGTAGCAACTCATTACGCAAATGAACATTTTTTCTAACAAGTTTATTGAATTGAGCTAAGAATCAAGACACAAGAAGCACATTTAATTCTGCAGTAAATCATGACACAAAAAACCCAGTACGCAAATTAACGTGTTTTCTACCATTTTTATTTGTTTTATCACGCTAAAGATCTAGCCTGCGTCACATCCGGAATTTTCTTCGTAAATTTACGAAGAAAATTGCGGATGTGATGCAGGCTATAAAGATCAAGACAATACGCATTTATAAACTAAAACAAATCAAGACTCAAACAACTATAGCTAAAAAAGACCCAGCACGCAAATGAACGTGTTTTCTACCATTTTTATTTGTTTAGTATCTTGCTAAAAATCAAGACAATACGCATTTATAAACTAAAACAAATTAATCAAGACCCAAACAACTATAGCTAGAAAAGACCCAGCATGCAAATGAACGTGTTTTCTACCATCTTTATCTTTATATTTTTTATAATTAAAATTTGTAGAACATCAAAATCGTTATTGATTAGATAATTTAAAAAGCAAGTTAAATATAAATTCGCCAAGATCTTCCATAAAATCTTCTTACTTGTTCCTTGGAAATGGCGAGAAAGGCATAAATTACTCCAATGTGCATGTTGTGTTCCAGTACTCCAGGTGTCTTCTGCGTATTGGCTTTGGCCAGTCCAAAAACCATTTTGCTTGAACCGTATTAGCCCTACTTGTTTGAGCTTCGTAGAACGCCACTTTTGATTCTGCCCGCAGTGTGGACAATTAATGAAGAAAAACTATCTTTGTTTGTAATTTAGCTTTAAGAACGAAAAAGCAATGACTTAAACACTAGACAATTTGAAGATTATACAGTCATCAGCTGAATATCAAGTCATAAAACAAGAATCAAGTTCACTTGTTTGTTTAACAGATATGAATTCGAAAATGCGAACATGTCAAATTATACGAAGGAAAAGCATGTACGATAGAATATTGTTTCAGTTTTTGCAAGCGTACTTAAAAATATATTTTAAAATGCGCGCCCTTGAGTAGCACACGTGCACTAGTTCACCCGTCACGGCTCGCCTATTTCTTTGACTAATTAGACTTAGGCAACCAATAGCACAAAGTTAGTAATTAGTTAGCTAGCTATCTATTTCACGGGTATATTATTTGCACTCTAAAGAGGAATATAAAAGATAATTACAATACATTTACAATTACAATGGATATGAATTTTGTGTAAAATATCTTTCTCAAGGATAGTATAGGCAGCTTAAAAGAGAAACCGAAGGCTTATGACCCTTAAAGTGTCCATGCCGGCATGGCTCGAGTGTTAATTGATCCTCACTGTAAAATGAATCACCAATACATGGATTTAAAAACAATTTTATGGAACGAGGAAAGAAATTGGGAAATACCTTCAAGCAAGAATGTACTTTTTGGAGGCATAGTTTCCTGCATAACTGGCCCATCTCTGTCATCTAAGAGTTTTTTCTCTGGTAGAGGAACAGTCATTGGAGACACCACATTTACAGGCTTATTGTTGAACGTAGCTCTCCTTCCATTTCCCTGATCTCCTGAGTTATTGTCCACCATGTTTTCTGTTTGTTCACTTGGCACTACCGAGGCTGTTGCCATGACTGCAATATCTGTGACTAGCCTCTTTAAATGTTATCTGT